ATCACGCTCTAAGCCCAACTTCAGCTCTCGAGCGTTTTTAATTAAGTTCAAGTGTGAGCTGCCCGTCAGCTTTTGATTTATGCTGCACAGGTTCTATACTTGTATACATTTTAGATATACATATAATTAAAAGCGAAAGAAAAGAAAAGAGGAAAACAAAAACTCATCGTGGCTAGAAACGTCGCGCCGCTTTCCCTTTGGCACACAGGAGGCGCGCTCTGGTAATTCAGATCTTGTCTTGGACCTTGGACATTGCGTGCGATTGCATTACGGGTGAAATTTTGTTCGCTGCCTGCCATTTCACTGGCGATCTTGAGACATCGATAACCTTTTTGCTTAGGTTTTGTATTGCCTTCGCTTCAATGGCCGACTTGGCCGGCCATCTAAAGCTGACATCATCAAAGCGCGGAGCTGGCAATTTAATGCCGTGCTAAAGTTGGCTATGTTTTTCTTTACTTCGTTTTTTGATTTGATTTGGTTTTGGTTTTTGATTACATAAATTTGGCGCCTCTGACCGCGAATCGCGGCTCCATTTGCATCTTCAAACGCAGGCGAATGTGTGTCAGCATTGGGGGCCGGGGCGCGGCATTTTGGTCAGCGGCATATCGTATGTAATTACAATAAGTGCAATTGCAACTGCAACTGCATCAATGCAAATAACGCAGAATGTCTTGGAAACCTGTCGCTTTTAATTAAAGGCTGCCACGACGCGGTGCCCCGATCTCTAAGTAACTTTTCATGTTTTAAGTTATGCGCACAATTTTAAGCGACAGCAGCCACAACAACAATCACAACAACAACAAATATCACAACAACAGCTCCATAAAAATAACTTTTGCATTTAGTCATAACTGCATTTAAAAAATGTGTGTTTCGATTGTTGCCACCACTCACACATCTAAGCTCGGCTTTACGAGTATTTTGATTTTATTTCGGGTTTTTGTTAACTCCCCCCATATGCAAAAAGTAAGTAAATAAGAGTGCTCGACTGGAAGATACCCTTAACCCATGATTCCCAACCTCTAGGTTCCTACTAATACACGCATACTCATAAATACACAGGCAGGCTGCATGTGCTTCTTCTTCCTTTGCCCCACACTATTTATGGGAAATGCATTCTTGATTAACTCAGGAACTTATAGCCTGATCATGATGAAAGTTTCAGTTCTTGTATATGTCATACAAATATGTGTATATACCAAAGTGCAAGACGCTGCATTCAAAAATGGGGATTTTTGCAATTCTGTGAGGGATATAGGAGGAATTAGAAATATATACAAAATTTCCAAACTGTGTATACTATGCAAAAATATACATACTAAGCTACTTAGCTATAATCTCTCCAATTATTGTAGTTTTCGACAGACGGAAAGTCAACAAGATCCTCTTCGCTTGTATTCCTGTTCATATAGATGTGCTTTATGGTATCGGAGATGCTTCCTTCAGTCCCTTACATACATTTGCGAAAATCATCATACCCTTTTTAACCGTTTTTTAGGGTATAATAAAGCGAGGAGAAAAAAAATAGGGTAGGCGCTAACTGAATGCAATTGTATCCCAGCCCAGGTACGACCCACTTCTGTCATGTTGCACGATAAATACTTTGAGATTTATTGTTTGCCACAGTGGCAGGCATAATTACAATTTATGCCCCTTTGGGGCAGCAGCAAACAAGTTGTACAATCTACTGCTAAGCCAAGTTCAAAGCATGTTTGAGGAAGCTGTCGCCAAAGACAAAAGCCCATACAAATTGCAAGAGGAAGCTGTCCGTCTCTTTGTCTCCCTCCGTCTGTCAGTCAGTTTGTCTACCTGTCTGACAATTGCCATTATTCTTGCGTGTATTGAAAGTGAACACGAATACCACCAACAGTTATTAGACTGTTCACAAATATACCGAACTTTTAATGCCCTTGAATATAAAAAAGTAATAAATCTTAAGATATATTAAATAGATTAAGAAATGCAACAGCTGGACTTCATCTGTGTTTGTTGAAAGTAGCCTTCAATTTAGTTCTAAACTGGATTTGAACTTTCATGAGCTTTTTCGGTGATTCTGTGCTTTTTAAAGCTTATAAAGAACAACTAGCCTGTGAAGGGCTTTTGGTGCTTGAATGTGCTTTCAATAGCTTTAATCAGCTTTCGGCAGCTTTTGATTAATGTGTGATATAAAAGGAGTTTTAACTTGGTTGTAAGTCACTTCCCGAGCTTTCATGAGCTTATTGAAGCTTTCGGCAGCTTTTGCTTAATGTAGGGCTCCATTGAAAAGCTTTCAATGGACTGTGAGTGATTTTGTGAACTTTCATTAACTTTCATTACTTCCGCGCGTAACAAGCCTGCACAGCTAGCTGAGTTAACCTGCAGCAAGGGTATGGAAACAATTAACTTTCGCATACCGTTCGGGGTGAGGGCATTACATCATGTGGAGTTTAAGCACTTGGGTGCTATTGTTGAGCACATAATTAAGCGCCGCTTAGCTTATGTAATTAACGTCAGACAGACAAGAGCCAACAGACGAAGTCTAATGAACCTCGACGCGCTCAGCTTTTGGCCAGCTGCGTGCGCTGATTTATATGCGAGTTGGTCGAGTGTCGTTTTTCGTACCGACCAAATTGTGTTTTGTCACAATTCGATCGCGCACTTAAGCCCCGTTTATACGCAGGCCTCTCCAACGGAGCACTCATATTTGTATTCGCATTTGAAAAGTCAAAGTCAGATGGAGTCGCAGCTGAAGCCGTAGCGGAACATGTGACATAAGTCGCCGGGTGTATGGCAATGATATATGAATATGACAAAGCGACATGGACAACTTTATTGGCTCATGAAAAGCGCTGTCACTGCCTGACTGACATAAATCACGCGCAAAAACCCATTCGACGAACCCATCGAGCCGCAAACCCAACGCAGTCAGCGCCAATCGCCGGACGTTGCCGTTGATCGCAAAATAAGCAAAAACAAGAGCGCTCTAGTCGGGAGTGCACGTCCTTAAGATACCCTGAACTCAAAAGTGAGCTGTCGTGGGACAATTGCAATTCTGTGGAAAATGGGGGAGGTATAGCATACAAGAATATATATATTTATCATTTCAAGTCTCTATCTCTTAAGGTTTCCAAGATCGAAGTGCTTATACAGAAACCATATCTCAATATTAATAATCAATATTAAAGACCCAAGATTCTTATGATATCCAAGATCGACGTGTTTATACAGACAAACGGACGGACAGACGGATATAACTAGATCTAATTAGTGCGTCAGGCTGATCCGGAATATATATATATAAACTTTATAAGATCACAGATGCTACTTTCAATATTTTGCGTATATTTGCACAAAATGTATACACCCTTGATAATCATTGGATTCGGAGTATAAAAAGCAAAACAAAAAACCAAAAAATAAATCAAAAATCAATTTTCGTAAATGTTCAGCGAGAAAAAGAATAACGCGACGCGACGTCAAAATCTTAACTGGCATCCATCGTGAAGATCTTGATCTTAGTAGCAGAATATAAATATATATGTATGTGTGGGTTTTAACTAGTTCCAGCTAACTAGCACAAAAGATAATAAGGCAATTGTCTTGGAAAAACTGAAAAAAAAATAATAACAAAATAAAGAGAGAGAAACGGTTGTGTAAAAAGCAATAAAGATGTGGCACACATATTTATATAAATTTTGTCAGGTCGAGGACAAGTTCTTTAAATGTTAAAGATATATTCCAAGGCTTGATCTTTAATCAAAACTAGTTAAAACAGTTCTGGGAATGAAAAAAAACTATTAGATAAATCATTCAAATTAAAGTTCATGTTGAAGACACGAACTAATCTAAAGGATGATGACCTTTCCATGAGATAGAAAAACAGCCTGAGGCAGTCTGCAGGTCGAACTAGTAAGATCCTCAAAGTTCAGTTGCCTAATGAACTCAAGTGCAAGGTTCAGCGGTTAGAAACATTGAGATAAATATAAGAGTATTAGATGTGAACCATCTCAAGAAGATAGGATAGCCTTAGTATGCTTGTTACATGTGAAATAAGTCTTATAAACATAGACCCGTTTAATCCTTGAGCGGATTTAGAAACCTTCCTTTTTTTGCTCTTCAAAATATCTCAACATTGAATGTTGTGGCAGCTTATAAGTGTAATCTGGGCAATATTGACTACTATAATAAAAATATATCTTAGACAGAATTGGTGGCAAGGGTATCTGTTTGTTTTGCACTTTGCAGAGCTTACTGTGCCTGCTGGTTTTCATATACCATGAACAAACTAGACCAACAAGTGAAAAACTGCGTCATATGTGTTGGTGGCACAACTTTTCACTGCACACACACACACGCACACACACATGTGAAGGCACGCCACCTATCGGCGGGCAAAGCGTAGCCAGACACGCCACCTAGACACGCCACAGTGGGTACTCATATTTAGCCTATTTTAGCTAGTTTTTTATGCTAGTTGTGTTGCTTTTTTTTTAAGCAGCAACAGAAGTGAAACCCTTTAGCCTATAAAATGTGCGCACAACGCGCATGACCTCAACAATTTGGTTCACTTGAAGTGGCAAACGCACACGAACCTACACACAAATGGGCAAAAGACTCTGACTCTGAACCGAGGTCCTGTTGCGTGCCCCAACGAGTGCTCATTGTATGTGTAAGTAGTTGTTACCGTTGTTGTTGTTGTTGCTGTTGTTGTTGTTGCTGTTGTTGTTGTTGCTGTTGTTGTTGTTGCTGTTGTTGCTGGTGTACTATTGCCATTGCTAAATGACCAAGGCAACTGACCCTCTGCCTGGGTCCTGTACTTTTGGGCCAGTTCAGTTGCGTTGAGTTCGTGACCAAAGGCGGGCGCGTTGTGTTCTATTCATATTTAGCAGTTTCTTTTTTTTTTTTGTATCACTTGCATTCTATGAATATGATTTGAAAATTGTGCGCTGCAACCAAAACAACAGCCAACTGCAGTTCTATAAAAATATATATATATTGAGTATATATACTCGACAGCAGCCATGGGCTGCGCCAGCAGCACTCCAATGGTGGCGACCGCGGGCAGTGAAATGCTAAAAGCCGCCACTCATGTGGCAGGCGATGTCAAGAAGCAAGGCGAGGCGGCTGTTGAAGGTGTGTGTGTGCCTGTGTGTGTGTGTGCCTGTGTGTGTGTGTGTGTGTGTGTGTGTGTGTGTGTGTGTGTGTGTGTGTGTGTGTGTGTGTGTGCCTGTGTGTGTGTGTTGGTTGACATTTAGAAGCGCATTTCTCATTACCAACCAACCGAGTGCATTCAGGCAGCAAATGTTAAACACTAGACGTATACTTAATATTTGCATAGTGCGTCGTGACAGCAAATCAATCGGGCATATTATTCATTAGCCTTATGAAACCAACCGCAATACACTATTCAACCTTTGACCCCACGCTTTCTATTGTGCTAGTCCCATCATAAAGAGCTCGCATAATGAGCCCGGGGCCAATATAATAATGTCAGCTAATCAAGAACAATTGAGCAGCAGCAAAAGCCAAAAAGCTGCGTGTCCTGCGCTTCGACACGTTTTTTTCCCTTTTTTTATGAGCACTACTTACTTTATACACACACACATATACACACATATTTATACATATTTATGCATATATTACACACATATTTCTATTAAAAGCATATGAAGAAAAACGAGTTTTTTGCGTGACCAGCAAATTGGAGCAGACGGCCTCTGTTTTAAATAATATAGGTAGAAATTTACATATACGTGTTGCTGGCATTTTGCTAGGCCAATTGCCAAATTGATTGATTCATTCACTTTGGCAAATTACACGGCAAACAAGTGAGAGTCTATTTCATTAGATGGCGAAACCAACTAATTGTGGCCTTGCCACGCAAAGGACCTGCAGACATTTATCATTAGTTTTCCAGGTTGAATAAATGGGAGGAGAAGCCTTTAAAGTTTGGAGCAGTGTGTCACTAAAGAGTATGATTCAGCAAATTGGACTACTTCTAGGTAGTTATTTGCAAAGATTTTCTTTCAATTATTATTAGTCGTAGACTTTAGCTACTTGACTCTTAGAATCTTAGAATATTTTTCTGCAAGTGTTTTTCCTTTAGATCATAATATAATTTCGATTTGTGAAGGAGCAAAGAAAGTTTAAGCGAAATTGAACAAACTTTTTGAGTTGTGATCATATTATTTACAAAGGAAGCTAGATTTCTTTTTATTATTAATAATAATTGATTGACTTTTAGTGTAAAAAAGCTTTCCAAATAATCATTCTCAGTTCATTTTCATTTTTGCTGCAATGTGGCTTACTCCAAACATAAAATGATCTCGCATATCATATCAAGATCATAATCGTAAATCGATAAATATCGATCGAAGAATCGTTTGAACATTCTTCACTTTAATTTTTAATACAATGTATTCAATAGTCTGTCTTGAGTTCAATGCATGATGTTTGTTTGCATTTATATACCATAGGTAATTATGCAGGGTATCTCTTTAACTGAAAGTCCCGACACTACACATATTGATTGCAGGCAGCTTAATTGACAGGCAGGTTAACGACCTGTTGTCGCATATTAATCAATATGAACAAGAATAGCATAAATGTTTACTTATTGTCAACATTTTGTCATTTAGATGCCACCCAAGCGCTTTGTTCGACCATTGACACGGCCAAGGAAACGGTGAGCACCGCCGTCGCGGGCATCACCAATGAGCTGGGCAGCGCCTTTAAGGATGGCACCGAAGCACTGGACGAGGCCAAGCACAAGGTAATGGAGGGTCTGCACTTGGAGGCAAAAACGGACGCAGCGCCCACGGCCGAGCCAAGTACATCAAGAGCGCCCACGCCCGCGCTTGAGGCAGATGCGGACAGTCTGAAGACGTCGACGCCGGAGCCGGAGATTGAGCGAGCGCTGGCCAATGAAGAGGAGGCGCCGCCAACGCCAAAGCCATCGCTGCAGGAGCTCGCCGAGCTGAGCGCCCAGGCGATGAGCGATACGAAGGCTCTGCCGCCAGCTGCCACGGAGGCAGCCACAGCGGAGGCAGTGCAGCCAGCTGCGACGCAGGCGGCGGCGAGCGTGGAGTAAGTAAGCCTAGCGAGCACAGCCGTTGCGTAGAGCCCGTAGAGTCCACTGAATCAAACGTAGAAACTGTTGCACCCAGATGCATATAAGCGCGTAGTTTGTACTTTAGCTTTTGTAGTGCCCGTTTGTAGCTCCAAGTAAATATCTATCATATAATACTATATAATTATCTTATATATATATATATATATAAACTACTCTCTTTTTCCCTCTCTTAAACTATGTGTAAATTGTAAATAAATAACTTTTATCTCCATGTACATATCATATACTCTGCATTTCTTATTATTGCGAGCTAGCAATTAGCTAACTAACAAGAACAACAGCAACAAGTCTTGTACGTAGTATTGGTAATACATAATTATATATCTTTAAATATACTATAACACACTTATAAACAAAACTTTGGCCTGTCCAGGTTTATAAGAGCTCTTGCTTAACTATTGCTCAATGGAGGGGTCAGAAATAGTTCACTTTAAATTGGGGATCTGCGAGTTTAATTGTCTGTAACTTATCATAACTAAGTATCAAGAAATGAGAACTATCGTGTTTCTCAAGTCTTTCATTTCTCTCATAAGCAATATATTTTTGTAACTCTTTCAGGGCAACAATCACAAAAACAGAATAGTAGAGGAGGGTTCGCTATACGACGCTCAAACCTTCTACCTGTCTTTGGAATCTTTAGGGTACAAGTTTAGGGCCTCAATCGGGCTGGTTCAAAAAAGGTTTTAGGTCTTGCTCAATATAAAATTTCTAACTTAAACTTACCTTGATGCCCAGTCCGGGCGGGGCCAGAATCCGATACTCCGTCGTGCTTGTCCGGTTCTCAAAAAAAGCTCAGACTTAAGGAGCATCCACAAGCTAGCTTTTCGTAATGTCCATTTCCAGTATAATAGTCCGCAATAATCCGTAGTTACAAAATAAGAGATCCATTTAGAGTTTGGCAAGAGTGTAATAAAACAGAGCTCCTCACACACAAAGCACACAGAACAGCTGCCTAAAAAAAACAAAAAAAATCCGTATTAACATACATACACAAACGCACCCCGCCCACAAAAAACAACCCCCCTCCCCCACACACACACAAATGCAGAAATCGTTGGCAGCAGAAGGAGAAGCAGCAGGAAGAGGAGGAGCTACGTCGTCCCAGCACCACCGAATGGGAAAAACTGGCCGATCAGCTGGCCAAGAGTCGCAAATTTAGACCCTACGAGAGCTTTGCGCATAGCCAAAATCACTTTTCCGTCTACAAGGATTACACCAGCCTGCGCGACAAACCGGGCCATTATGATGGCCACTTCAGCTTCGAGGGCAACTCACAGTCGAGCGCCTCCCAGTCGCAGTCGGACCTGTCCAGCGGCCAACCGACCCCAGCACCGCCCAGACGACGCGGCGGACAGCGTGAATATGCCAAGTTCGTGGGCGCCGAGCAGCCGGTCAGTGTGTCGCGCGCCAGTTCGAGGCTCTCGAATGTTGGCGGCGGCATCCGAGCCTTTGACTTTAATCCGCAACGCGAACGCATCAGCCTGCCCATTGCCAAGACCGTGGCCACGACAACACGTGTCGGCAGTCGCTCCCTTTGGGCCAGGGGGCAGCCGGCTGTGCTGCCCGAGGAGCCACACAGCACATACAGTCCGGTTAGGCGCAGCAGCCTGGCCACAGGACTGGGCTTGCGCCCTGCTGCTGCTGCTGGCGACATTCATCAACTGCCCTTAGCCAGATCCACCTCGAACTTGTCCCGCTCCACGCTGCCACGCAAGCAGAAGCCACAGTCCCGACTGCCCACGGCAGAGGCGCCCGTGCCAGTCAGTCGACGATTCCTGGACCTAACCCACACACAGATGGAACCCATAAGAGTTGAGCGCATAAGCGTACCGCTACCTGTACACAAGCCGGGCAAAGATCAGGCCAAGCACCAGCTAAGTGAGACGCTTAAATCGATGCTGGACTCGTCAAGAGACATCAGCTCCGCGCTGCTGCTGGCCACGCCCTCAACGGTTAGCTCGCTGCTGCACAGCCCCTCGGCAGCGGATCGCGCTGACGCCAGCCTTAAAATGCCAACGCCTTTGGCGGCACGCGGCAACGGCAAATCAACTGACACAAAGGCCACGCCCAGCACAACGCCTTCAAGGCGGTCTCCTGCATCATTTACAAAGCAGCCGCTAGAAGATGGAATACATATCCTGCCCAAGTCCAGCACAGCAACTACAACACCTCAGAGAATTAACTCCTTGCCACACTCACCTCAAAGAGCCAAGCCGCATGCTGTTGCTCCAATCTTTAGCGCAACTGTCACCAGATCGCCCGCCGCGTCGCGTGCTTCTTCGCGCCTCTCCTCCAACAGCAGCAGCACTGAGGTGGTCGTCAGACCCTTGAGTCATCTGAACACGCCCAGCGCCGTCTCGCTGTCACCAGATCAGGTTGTCATGATGGCGTACGATGACAGCGACTTGGAGGCAGCCCTGGCCCGGCTGGCCGACTGGCGTGGCTCGACCATAACGCTGCAGTCTATGCGTTCCGGCAGTTCGCGTTTGGGTCGCAACTCAACTGCCTCGCGACGCACTTCACCCTGGATTAGACGTCAAGTGGAGCACAATGGCAGTCAGGAGTTGAAAGGCTTTGGCAACTGTGGCATAATCGAGCTGACCTCGCCAGCTAAAGCAGCTCCCCAGCTGCTCGAGCGCTGTGAAATCTGTTGTAATGAATTTGTGATGAAATAGATAAATGTTAGAAAGAGTTTTCCATAATTATAATTATACGGAATTTCTGAAATGATTATTTATCTAAGTTATTTAAAATTTATTAAATTATTTAGATAGTTTATTTAAAAATTAAATAAGATTATTTCATGAAAATAGAAACTATTTTTTAATAATTCCAAATATTGGAAAAAGTTAACACTTTAAATATTGGGAACAATAATTTATTATTATTAATTGGAAACAATAATGAACATGAATTATTCATTATTATTTTCAAATATTTTTAGATTTTATTAATATGCTCTATGAATTGACATAATTAACATTATATACACAATTATAAAAATTTGCTTCGTTACTCTTTTAATGAATTATTAATTACAATCTAACTGCCATTTAATTCGAAATAATATTTATAACGCAAATAAGCTTCCAAATATATTAACGACAAATTGTTAGACTTATAACAAACCAAATACCTATAAAACAATTATTAAAATAAGCAACCCAGCGATTTAGTACCTCAAAATGAAATGTTGAATTAAATTATAAGACATAAATAATGTTTCCATATACATGCAAAAGCTTTGAGTCAAGGAAAGTCTACTACACACAGTCAAATTAAATGAAAGGCAACTGCATGTACCCTCTTTTTGTATTTATTAAACCAAATGTCTAAAATCACGAAATATCATAATTTACTCCAAATAGAAGTTAACTAGTTCACTCGACTGTTTAATGAAGAGTGCGTCCAACAGATTTCCATTAACATGGAATTAACATGAAGTTTACATGTGCTAATCATTAACATAAGCATTGGATCCAAGCACTGTTAAAAGTGAAGCGCGCATAAATTCTACATGTAAACAAAGTTGAATTATTCTACTCAAAGAGTTTTGAAAATTTGATGAGTTCAGCAAATTAAAGTAATATTTTAATAATAATAAGTAATATTTTATTAATGAATAACTAATTGCTATGAATTTTACTCTGGATTACTTATGCCTAAAAGTTCCATAGTACCAATTGTCACAAGGGACAACTATTAATAAACTACAGCCCCCATTATAATAAGGCCAATTTGAAGTAAGTTGGCGAATCAACCTTTATAGCCCAATGTATGTATAAAATTGTAAGATCTGTTTTTTCTAATTGATGACTTAATAACAAAAGAGCTAAAATTGAATTGTTTATCTTTGCCGTTCACTCAATTATTCTGCCACTTGGAGTTTCGTTTTTGTGTTTTATGTTCGTTTTATGTTTCATGTTTCACGTACCACATGCGCCACGTCTGCCGTCCGTGACTTAATGAACTATTAACAGCAATGATAGTAATTTGTTGTAGCAGCCGCAGCCGCAGTCGCAGCAGCAGCAGCAGCCTGGCAAGGCAACAAATGAAATTGCTTTCAGGCAACAACTGCAACAACAGCAACAACAACAACTTGTCTTCATGGCACTTTTTGGCAAACAAATAGACAATTCAACAAAGCGACATGCAGACAAATGACTACAGCAGAGAGCAACAAGCAGTCGGCCAAACGAATACAAATACGAATGCGAATACAAATACGAATACGAATACGAATACTTATTTACAGATAGTCAAGCATTTTGCGGGGGTGTCATATCGTTAGACCCCGTCGCACCTGTAGCCAGCAGCAGCAGCAGCAGCGGCAGCAGCCGTCGCAATTGGCTTTGCAACTATTTTGGCACGATTTTCAAATTACGTACATTGACTCGCAAAATGTTTGGTTTATGCCGCAATTAATTTCCAGGCGGAAGAAGCAGCAGCAGCAGCAGCAGCGGCGGCGGCACAAGTGGCCCCCAGAGTTAGTTCAGGTGGAAGTGGAAGTGCCTGCGCTTGTGTAGGCGGCTGCAGCTAAAAACTAAAGTTGAAGGTCTTCTGTTTCTGCTGGTTTTGTTTTTTTCCTCTTTGTTTTTTTTTTTCGTGGCGTGACATTGAAAGTGAAAGAACAAGTTTTGTAAGCTTTGGCGGCAGCGGGCATTTCTATTTTTAATGACGCTGACTTTTACAAGGCAGCTAACTGACTGACTGACTGTCTCAGCTGTATGGCTGGCTGGCGGTTCATTGAACGCGCCACGCATACGTGGCAGCCACAAGAGGCAACAGCAGCGGCAACAACAACAACAGCACAACTAACGCTAATGATCTATGAAGTGTAAGTGTTTTTGTACTTTTACTTTCATTTATCATAAATGGAGGCGTCATTTGTGCTCAAGACATTTGAAATTAGCAATGCACCGAAAACTACATTTTAGCACTTCATTTGTGTTTCTTTTTCTTTTCATTTTTTTTTTTTGCGGCTGTTGTTGTGTGGTAAAACTAGCTTTTAATCAAATTTACATGCGCCAACAATGTTTATGCCATACGCACTGTGGGCCGTGCCACAACTGCGGCGCCAGCTACAATTTTTGTTTTTTTCGTTTATTTTTTTTCTGGTGTAAAATTGATTTATGCAATTGTTTGTTAGCCACCAGCTGATTTGTTTATATGTGCAACGACAGCAACAACCAGTAACAACAGCAGCCAGGCAAATCAATAAGTTTATGCAACATGCGGCTGATTGTAGATTTTTGAGCGATAAAATCAAAAAGACAGCCAGAAGACAATGGCCGTAGCCGAGTTGCAGGCTTCCGCTACAAGTTGTTACAATTATACGAACAGGCTAACAGCAACAGCCAAACACTTAACAGCAGCAGTTAACAGCGCTGTTAAACCACTGTTGACTGTAACATTTTTCGACCAAAATTGCTCGCACTCAAAAAAAAATGAAATTCAAAAAGTTTTTTGGCAGCCGCGCATGCGAATTTTCAATTAATATTGCAACTGGCAATCGGGTAGCTGGCGGAACGCGACGCACTTGGTCTGAGTTGGCAGAGCTGGCAAAATGGCAATCATTTGTTAGGCAAACATTTCTACAATTGGCGGCTGCTTTCGTTTGGCCTTTTACGCTAACATTTTGCATAACGGCGGGTCAAGACGGAAATGGAAGACGTTCGCCAGCCATTAATAATTTTTATTATACGCTTGGCGACGTGGACATCTTCAATGCGTTTCGAGAGCCTTTTGTTTTTAATGGACTGAGCAGAAAACGTGCCCCGGCCACAAGCCAAACAGACAAACACACCACAAGACGCCGCATGCAACACACACATAAACATCTGCTTTTTATCTGACTGCGCCTGCGACTTTACCTTTTACAGTGCTTTCAGTTGTTTATCTTTTTTGGCTGGTATTTCGGTAGCCGTATGGCATAATCCAAATTAAATTGTCAAAAGAAATGACAATTCAATATACAGCACAACAACAACATCAGCTACAAATCTTGTTAAGCAAATGCAAAGGAAAATTGGAAAGAAACATAAAGCACTCTGTCATCTTTCTCCCTCCAAAAGTCAAACTTGGCGAGTGTAAAAAGCAAAATGTCAAATTAAACTGTCAGAGTTAACTTTTAACCCATTTTTTTTTTTGTTTTTTGGGCTATTACATAAGCTACTTATCAGCTCTGATAACTGGGAAAACTCAAAGTGCATAAATATGTGCATTAAATATTAATGGGCAACTATGTGTGTGTGTGTGTGCGCGTGTGTGTGTGTGTGTGTGTGTGTGGGTGCGTAGGTGTCTTGTGCGGTCAAGCACATAAATCAGTGCGACAGTCAGACATATTCAAGCATTGCAAGCGGCCATTCGTCCATTCGGGCATTCGCTCATGCGTCAGCAAACAAAAGACTTAGGCAACGAACGCGCGACACTGTTGCAACCAAAATGCGTTTTATGGCTGAGACCTACTTGCCACGGCACATGTGGCAACAGCTGCATCTGGAACAAGCATATTCTTAACCATATGTCTGAGACTATAACTATTCGGCTCTGCCACAGCCCCAAGCCCAATCCCAGTGTCTGCCTGTTGCAAGCTGAACTGCGCTAATTCGTGACTACTTTGTTGTACATTGTTGTTGCTATTTGTTGCTGCTGTTGTTGTTGTTATGCTGCTGCCAAGCAAAAGCCCTAAATTTAACAATAATAGCAAAAAAGAATGGAGCATATGTTAAGCGAAGAGTGCATGCACTTTGCAAATTTGGAGGAAATGTGCTATAGAGAAGTGGAAAATAAATTACTTTTCTAGAGGCCAAAACATTTTAAAACATTTTAGACATGAGCTAAAAACAAACATGACCTTCTTAATCAATGTTTCTTAACTTAAAAATGTATTTCAATTATTTGTGTTGATGTCCAAAAATGTTGAATAATGAGCTGAAGGCCTCCATGGTTAATAAGAATATATTTTCATTATTTTCTTAAATGTTTGTTCATTTGTATGTGTTATATTATTTTATAATATATTATTTCTTATCATATTATTTATTTATTTCTCACCTAATTCAGTTCTTGTTAAAGAAGACAGATTCAAGTTTGTATTGTTGTATATATCTTAAGCGAATCTTTAGCTACAAGATCCTCTGGTATCTTCAAAATAAATCACGAACTATTAACCCCCTTTTCGATCTTGAACATTTCTCAAACGATAAAGCATGAATCGAATGAGTTGTCAGTAAGATCGGTATAAATACATTTTAAAGAAGATTAAATGAAAAGCTTAAGATTAAAAAGTGTGAATGAACGCATTTAGTGCGTACTATGATTTATGAAAAGTATTAGGAGCTCTAGCCCCAAGGCCTTGAGCTATGCCGCGTTATCATCTGACAATTAGTTCTTACAATTTTCAATGTCTTTATCTTGAATCAAACCTGTTAACAAAGTTATGACACCCCAATTGAGGTAAGCGCAACGCAAATTGAGGGAGTCGGATGCTAAGCTCTCCTGCCAGACCCTGTCAGAGGCCTGGCAGGCCCAGGCCGTAAACCGTTTTTGACTTGCTACCGCGACGTGTGAGTCATGTGCTAGATCATTTTTAACTATATTCAAAAGTTATATACAAATAAAAAACGAACATATGTGTGTGTGTGGGGCTCATATGGAGAGCAGGCACTTTACT